GAAGTCAATTTTAATAATGGTCTTTTTCTCTTTGAAGTTCTGTGTATAAACGAACTTCTGATCCAGTAAAAAGGATTGATGACAAGTAGGTTGATTGATGATGAAGTGGTGTGACCCTGCTGATCTGATTGTGGAAGAAAGAATGAAATGAAATCTTTTCTTGTGAGAAAGAATTTAAAAAAAATGGGTTGGCTGAGAAAGATGCAGCATATGATAAGGGTAAACAGATTGAGAAGAAGGAGGAGACTTGGCTGCTCAGGGATAGAAAGGGTAGTGTAAGCAAGGAACCTGGTTCCTTACAGAAGCAAAGGGTTGAGCTATTAGGTTTGGAGGGAGAAGACATTGAAGTCTCAAAAAGTGCTGTAAGGCAGAGTGTTGACTCTGATATTGCTAAAAAATGGAGGAACTTCTTAACATTGTTGAGTTCTAAAAATAGAATCACCTTTTTATTCCTCCAAGTCCCAATGTTTCTGAAGAAGAAGTAAAAACTTCTATGTTTTATGTGATACTATGATGCTATATGTGCATGGGACTGAGTCTCTTCTTGATGAGACGAAGCTTTGGGAGATTTTTGGTGATCTGATTGATGGTTCAACCTACTCAGAGAGGTTGAGAACCTGGTCCTCGAGGACCCTTAGCAGAATAGAATGTTAAGTTGAAGGGTGAGAATGAAAGATTGAGGCAACAGGTGGCGGAACTGAGAGAGCCGATGATCATTGATCAAAGGAGAGTAAATAAACGAATGGACAAGCTCATCAAGGCCTTAGCCCCTTACTTTTCTTCCTGCCTAGTGATCCATGTCATTCACTCCTTCCAAATTCCCTTGAATTCTTATCTTCTTTTGATCCCTATATTTGATAACATTGATACTTTAGTTGTTTAAATTGTCATATTATGTATTGTTGAAACTACTGTGCTTTTATTATAATTACTCCACTATGGGAAATCACTCTATTTTGTGCACTGACATTCACTTGTTGTTCTTGTTATTGTTTATGTTGTGTTGCCCAAGTGGCCTGAGTTAATGTTGCTGAACTTCTTTTTGGTTGTGCTTCTTCTATTATTCTTTTCGATGATGCCAAAAGGGGGAATTTATATAGGTGTCAACATGGGGGAGGAACATAATCGAATTGATATGTTGTGTTATGAATGAAAGATGACTCTACTTCGCAGGGGGAACGTTGCTGATAATATGTTGATTATAGGTCTGATCCGTAGGGAAACATGTGAGGAATCTGGTTCTGGATTGGAATAAACGTTCTCAACGAACTGGGTACGGACCAGATATGATTAGTGCATGTAAGGAATCTGATTCTCAGGGGGAATAATTCTGGGTTTATGCATGTAAGGAATCTGATTCTCAGGGAGAATAATTCTGGGTTTGTCATTCATCAAAATTGGGGAAATTGATAAGTTATGGTTCTTTGAGTTTTGATGATTTGCCAAACAGTCTTGAGGAATAAGTTGTGATCAGCTCCTTAGGTTCGGTTCTCATGGGGAATATGGTTGATTCGTAGGGGGGACAATGTGGAGATCTGGTTCTCAGGAGTAATATCAATTCTAAGTTTGTCATCATCAAAAAGGGGAAAATTGATAGGCTACAAGTACCTTGGGCATAAGTACTTTACTTTATGTTTTGATGATCTAACAAACTTACTATCCAGAAGTAGATAAGGAACTTGTTACACATCTACAAGACCTTGAGATCACAAAGTTCCAGGTTGGGATCCGGCGTGGGATATAACTCAACTCTTCAAAGTGGAAGAAACAGCTGAGGGAACAGGTCCCTACCAGTTCCCGAGGAGACTGTATAAAGTCAACTCTCCAGTAGGAAAGTTGCTGCCTGCAAACGCTACTACACAAGAACAGTGCAGTAGTCAACTTTCTATGGAAGACTTTTTACCTACCTTGATTACATCATTATAAGTGATGTCACATACGTATAAATGCAATCAAGGAAGGTAAAACAATTTACTTTATGAGAGAACTAGATAAAAGACCTGAAGCATGCCTGGTACAATCATTCAAGTTAATCGACTCAAAATAATCTGGGCAGTGTGCCTTTAGATTCACGGGAACCAGATTAGGGACCTGATCCCTTGGTGTTACCCTGACATAAGTATAAGTCAACTGTATAGCTTGAAAACAACTGCAAAAAGTGACTGCCTACAACTGTACATGCAACAGTACAACAGATAGTGCAGCAGTCACTTCCCATTGAGAAGAGGAAAGTACTAACCAAGATTTGACATCACTAAGGTGATGTCTTTTGTTGTATAAACCTGGTGCAAGGCACAAGACTTCCTCCAACACTTGCAAAAATCAGAAAATGAAATATTCTCTCAAGTGCTAGCAACAACCTCTCTCAAGAACAAAGCTCCTGCAACCTCAAGGACCTGATCCAAGATTGAAGATATCTTAAGTCCTTAGGTTTGTTGAGTCGTTGTTATTTGTTCTTCATAGTAACTCCTATCTCGCTTTCTTAGAAGCTGTTTTTAGGAAAACCAAAATCCGTAAACTCTCCAGTTTATGTTATGACTAGGTTTAGTCATAAGTTAAAGTCTTTGTAATAGAGTTATTACAAAGTGGCTTGTAATAGTGTTATTACAAGTTAGAGTGATTGAAGTCTTTGTAATAGAGTTATTACAAAGTGGCTTGTGGTGAGAGTATCATAAGTTAGCTAAAGTTTTTGTAACTGGAGAGTCATAAAGTGGCTTGTGGTGAGAGCACCACAAGTTAGTTGAGTTGAATCCTTTGTAATAGAGTTATTACAAAGTGGCTTGTAATAGGTGTTTACAAGTTAGTTAAGTTGAAAGCCTACAAGTGTAGGTCGTGGTTTTGTCCCCTTGAGTAGGGATTTTTCCACGTAAAATCCTCTATGTTCTTTACTTTCTGCCGAGCTACTGTGGGAACAATTAGAGAACCTGATTCTCTGTACTGGTTGGTTTTATAGTCTGTTGCTTACAATGGGAACTTACAGAGAATATAGTTCTCTATACAGTGGGAACTTATCATGTGTCTCATTTTACATACTGGTTCACTAGTTAGCACTATGGGAACTGATATAGGACCAGATCGCTATAAGTTTTGTTCATTAGTGTTTTCAGTGAAAAGTTATAGAGAACCCGGTTCTCTATGCAGTCTGGTGGACGCTTAGTTTCTAACATCTATCAAGTTGGTCAGTACTCTAAGACATCTTTTTCCTCTTAAATAAAACTAGAGCGTCACTGTCACGACCCGGAATTTCCACCTTCGAGACCATGATGGCGCCTAACATTTCACTTACTAGGCAAGCCAATGTTAGAGATTCATTTAAGCCAATTCTTATACATTTCAATAATTAACAGTAAATAAACTAAAACGAGTAAAAATGAAAGCGGAAATACATAACAGCCTCAATATATATTCTACTACCCGGATCTAGAGTAACAATTCACGGACTTCTAAGATTTCACTACAAGTAATTGTTTGAAAGAAATACATCTGTTTTCAAAATGAACGAAAAAGTAAAACGAAATATTTAGAAGGGGACTCCAGGGTCTGTGGATGCCAGTAGATCTACCTTGGGTCTCCTGTAGGATAGATACAGCAACTAACCTCATAATCAGCTCGGGCCAATAACAAAATCTGCTCAGGAAGTGCAGAGTGCAGTATCAGTAGAACCGACCCCATGTAGTGGTAAGTGTCGAGTCTAACCTCCGCGAAGTAGTGACGAGGATAAGACAAGATACATACAAAAAAAACATGTGCAGTATAACAATATATATACCAATAACAATAATAAAAGAAATAAGACAAGTAATATTGGGAAGGGGACATGCTGGGGGCATCACAAAATAAAGGATTACGACAGTAAATAAGCACTTTGATCAACCGATATACTTTAAGCAAATAGGAACAAGTAACCACAGTAAAAAGAATACACGGTATCACCCTTCGTGCTTTTACTCTCAACCTCACCATATGAATCAATAGAAACGGCACGGCATCAACCTTCATGTATTAACTCTCTCATAACATGGCACGGCATCACTCTTCATGCATTAACACTCACAATATGGCACGACATCTCCCTTCGTGCATTAACCCTCACAAAACATGGCACAACATCACCCTTCGTGCATTAACACTCTCTCTCACCAAAATAATGAACAATAACAATAGCGAGATAGAAATAACAAGAACAAGTCTTACTTCACATAAGGTTCCACAATACCAACCTCAACTTTGAATCAATACTCAATTATTACCCAAGTCCGTAAACATGATAAGAATGATCAACATAACAGTTAACTGGTCTAAGCATAGATAATATGATCACGGAGAGCTACAATTACATGAATAAGTATCACTCGCATGCTATGAATCGACAACAATGCATAGGTACTAGTCATCTCACATATACGTTGTACTCAATATTCAAACACGTAGCAAATAGGCAAATAAGACCTAATCCCTGAAGCCAAGGTTAACCACGACACTTACCTCGCCCTGCGGTCAATTCAAAGCTCTACATGAGCCTTTCCCCTAGAATTTGCCTCCAAACCACTTGTATCTGGCCACAATTAACTCAATAACATCGAATATTGCTAAGACATATGTCTTTCTCCTACCAAAAGGAAAGAAAAAAGAAATAAGGATTTCCCCTTTGCTTTGACAATGAAATTCTGCCCCCGGTCCCCTTCATAAAAAGGGAGAGATTTATTGATATATTTATTGGGTCCATCGGGACTGACGGGGCTTGAACCCGCAGCTTCTACCTTGACAGGGCGGTGCTCTGACCAATTGAACTACAATCCCAGGGAAATACGGGATCTAGCAGAAAATTTGATTCTTTTTTATCTCCGGATCGGGTATTTCTAAAGTACAAAGGGGGTTATATAATCTCATGGCGGATTGGCAAATTTTTGGGCCGAGCTGGATTTGAACCAGCGTAGACATATTGCCAACGAATTTATAGTCCGTCCCCATTAGCCGCTCGGGCATCGACCCAGGAAGAATCAATTTTAGACTTATTGGTAATCCATGATCAACTTCCTTTCGTAGTACCCTACCCCCAGGGGAATTCGAATCCCCGCTGCCTCCTTGAAAGAGAGATGTCCTAAACCACTAGACGATGGGGGCCTGCTTGACCAACCGCCATCATACTATGATCATAGTATGATCAGTTTTTTGAAATTGTCAATATAATCGAATGATTCTATCCGAGGGATCTTTCCCCCTTTCAGAATTGCATAGAATTTTTTTATTCGTCATTGATGANAGAAACAAGAGAATTTGTATAAGAGTAATATATAGTTAGAAGGTTCTACTAACTAAATAAAATGGAAAGGAAATGAAGAAATTTGTATAAATCAGATCATTTTAATAATAATAAGTTTGACCTATTTTACCGAGAAGGTCTACGGTTCGAGTCCGTATAGCCCTATAAAAATGAAAAATGCAAAATCAAAAAAATTCTATAATTTTCATTTCTTCATTATTATTTCTTGCTTGTAACTAAGTGAAATCCAATTATTCCTATAAGTTTATTCACGTCAATCGTTTAAGCAGATGAAAGAAAAAATGCATATCAACGGATCCAATCGATATTGATTTTTTCAATTGCGGATAAAGAAACCAACCTTTCGTCATTAATCTTCGGAGGCGAATTACATATTCATATCCACAATAAAAGAATTAGTGAGACTCCCTTTCTTTTGATATCCCCAATCTTATTGAGTTGTGGAAGTCAAATCATTTCACGGGCCTCGTGAAATGAAAAACTACGAAGAGGAATTCACATGGATTTAGGAAGGGCCTGTTGTATTTGTGTACAAGCTAAAGTTTTTTGAAAAATGAATACCTTTGGTCACTTTCATTGTCAAATAGGCTTTTCCTTCGTATACCTTACTTACCTCGACCTA